TCAATAAATATAATAATTTTTATGCGTAAGTGGGATGATTGTAGCTCTCAGTTTGGTTTGGATGCTCTTAAAATTAGAGATGAGTTTCTGCATGTGTCAGATACCCAACTGACCAACAAAAAGTCAATATATATATATATTAAAAACTTTGAAAATAAATAAAGCTCCAAGTAATAATTAGACAAGCTATGGCTCTTTGGTTTTGAAAATAGATATCTCAGTGAGGATTTTATAAAGGTGTATTAGGATTTTAAATGGGACTGAAAGAGTAAACCCAGAACAATATTTTTAGATACACCAGGACTGCAGAACAAGAGGGTACAGGTTTAAGATTCCAAAGAGCAATGTCAGAACATACACCAGGAAATATTTATTTACCCAGAACGTAATTAATAATTGGAACTAGTTGAGGATAAGACACTGGCCTCTTTTAAGAAACAGTGTGGTGCTTTATTGAGGGGAAGGCAGGATGGATATTCTGTATGGATGTGATCGAATGGCCTGAGAACAGAGGTTGCAATCCTGGTGCCGTTTTGGGAATCCCGGGAGTTTGGGATTTTAATTCCCCAAATCCTGGGATCCTGGGATCCCGAATCTTACCTCATCCAGGATTCCTGCAGTTGATCTCCACACCAGTAAGACCTACCTCAGAAAGAGCCTCCTTCCACAAAACGATTTAAACACCTGCCTGTCCTCTCCAACTAGCTCGTCCTCGCAACAACTTGTGATCCACTCCTGGCAGAAGGATAAGATCTGCCTCCTCTTCCACCCGTGATTGGGATTCCTGGGAAGGTAACCGCCAGCTGAGAGCCCTTTCATCTGAACCTCTTTTGTGAACACTTGTGATTTTGTATTCAAAGTAATCACAATGGGTCAACAACACCAACTTGCAATTATGTAGCACCCCCCACACAGGGTAGGGTCTCAGAGCACAGTGTCTACTCATTTACGAGTCTACCATCTTGTGACCCTCTATGAATCTATGGTTTGACGGTTTGAAAGGACTATTCTTGAAACTGGATTTTCTTCATTTAATCATAGCTCCCAGTACCTATTGTTGTTCCACTGGAGGCAATGAGCAGCAGAAGAAGAACTGGTGAATAAGACTCAGCAAAGAGTCCATTGATCCAAAATCCTACTCCTTAGGAGTATTTTGTCTTAAAAGTTAAGATGATGTAAAATAGTGGAAAACTGTTAAATTCAGTCTTAATTTGGAAACTGTTTCATTTTCAGATCTATGGGAAAATCTACTTCCAAATTAAGACAGATTTTAAGAAATTTCCATAAAACTGCATCAATATTAAAACTTAAGACAAAGTGTTCTTACAGGCTAAAACTAGGTGGGATTTTGGCCTTTTGGCTTACTTGGCTTTGTCTTGGAAACACAGTGATGATGTTGGCCCTGATCGGGAGGCGATCGTCAGGTGTAACAGATGCCTTGTTTTAGACAAGAAATAAATAGACTTCCACTTTTTCTTCCAAACAAATAATTACAAGGGAGGTGTTTTTTATAATACCTAGCTGTACCTGCTGGAGCATCGCTTGCAACCAAAGGATCTAATATGGAATGTCGTTTGATACACAGACAGACACACAGACAGACATTTAATCTTTATCTATGCTCATCTGGGAGGACTCCTGTGGGAGGACTCCGCACTTTAATAATGTAATGTTCTCTGTGACGTATGTACTCTGTGATGTATGTGCTCTGTGACGCACAATGCCACAGCGCCACTTTGACTCAGCGGTCACCAGGTGTAATTGCAGCACAAATCGTAAAACTGAAAATAGATAATGAACAAAAGGAGATACCCATGTCAAATATGTCCATGTCACTCCCAGTTACAAGACTTTTCTGATGAGGTAAAAATCATGTCTCTACGTTAATCGGTTATTGAGATCCTTCTTGAAGCACAGACAGACTTAGTCATTTTATTAGTATAAACAAGATAAATAGAAGAAAATAGATAATCCTTGCATTTGGTATAATGCCTTATCACTTTTTTTGAAATGTCTCAAAGTGCTTCGCAGGATATAATAGTAATAATAATAATCATCCTTGCATTTGATATAGCACCTAATCCTGTCTTCAAAGCGTCTCAAAGCGCTTCACAGAATATACTGTAAAGTGAATTGACTGTATATTTTGTGGGTGAACTGTGGCAGCCAATTGTGCACAGCAGTGTCCCACAAACAGTCGTGGATTGAAGTGACCAATTTTTTTTTGAAGATTCCATCACTCTGGGTAATTCATATTTATGCAGTGACTTTGTTGCCTGGCTGATCCCTTGGAGCCATCTTAATCCCAAGGAGGTATGTTCTTGGCTGAAGCCTGGCCATCCTGGTTTGGTTGCTGTGTGACTGTGAATACATAACTCCTAACATTGCCTGAGTGTCGCGATGATGGCCTGGAAATTCTCTTCAACATTGCCCCTTGAGACAGGGTGAATTTTAGTCCACAGATCTCTTGCTGATTCCTTATACTTTCATTAAGTTTATCAGAATGAAATCCACTGAACTGGGATCAGGGTAGTTGGGATAGATAAATCTCATCATCAACAACAACTTGCATTTATAAAGCATCTTTCACGTAGGATAACATCTTGACACACTTCAGAGAAAATGTGTCATGGAGCAGGAGGGTATGTGTAAGTAGAAGGGGTCGAAGAGATCTGTGTTTAGGTAGGATTTAGAGAGGGAGTGTAATTTTTTTTACTAGGTAAACAGAGGCTTGTGGAGTAAGGAAACTTGCCCAACATTTTGTCCTGCCAGGAATCAAACCCAGATCTTTTGCTTGCGAGGCAAGTGCTCTAACCACTGAGCTACAAGACTCTACATATGCTGTAAAGTCCTGTAGCTCAGTGATTAGAGCACTCGCTTTGCAAGCGAGAGACCTGAGTTCAATTCCAGGCAGGTCAGGGCGAAACCTTGGGCAAGTTTCCTTACTCCACACGCCTAATAATAATCCCTCCAAAACCCAAAACAATAATAAATTGGTCATTTCAATCTACGACTGTTTGAGGGACATTGCTGTGCGCAATTGGCTGCCGCGTTCGCCCACAAATATACAGTCAATTCACTTTACAGTGTGTTCTGTGAAGTGCTTTGGGATGACATCCCGACGTGAAAAGCGCTATATCAAATGCAAGGATTATTATTATTATTATTAAAGTCATGTAACAATGTCTATTTTCTGAGAGAACATGGCAGTCAATTTATGTACATCAATGTCCCACACACAGCCATGAAGTGAATGATCATTTTTATTTGGGGGATTGTTGGCCAGAACACAGGAAATAATCCCTCCTTATTTTTCAATACAGTAGTTCTATGGGATTCCACCTGAACACGTCGACTTCAAGATCCTCACTCTTGTGTTCAAATCCCTTCACTCTCTGGCACCTCCCCACCTTTCCAACCTCCTCACTTCCCAATCCACCACCCAGCGCCTCTGCTTGACTGGCACCGGCCTCTTGCTCGTCCCTCACACCCTCCGAACCACCATCGGAGGTCGCGCTTTCAGCTGCTATGCCCCGAAACTCTGGAATACTCTCTCTCAATCCCTCTGCCTTGTCCCCTTTCTCCCCTTTTTTAAGTCCTGCCTGAAACTCTTCCTCTTTGACTGTGCTTATGGCCACCTGCCCCACCCCACCCGGCTCAAAGTAAGACGCTGCCACTGTTAAGCGCTCTGAGATGCTACCCTGCATGGAGGGTGCTATATAAGTACAAATTGTTGTTGTTGTAGACAGGACCTTAGTCTAATGTCTCATCTGAAGTACAGCACCTCCAAAAATTGCTATTATGATTGTTATCTCTTCTGTAAGATTTTGGTATTCATAATAATACTACCACTGATGATAATATTTTAATTTGTTACAGAGCCTTTCACATCAGGAGGATGTCCCAAAGCGCTTCACAGGACATACTGTAAAGTGCAGCTACTGTCTGTTTTGTGTACGAATATTGGCCCATAAATATACAGTCAATTCACTTTACAGTATATTCTGGGAAGTGCTTTAAAACTCCTCGAAGACGTGATAAGGCGCTATATCAAATGAAAGGATTATTATTATTTATTAGAGGTAATATGCACACAGCAGTAGTGTTGTTTTAGGGCAGAGAGCTTCTGATGAGGAGCATAATATGACCACTCTAACATTCAGCAACTGGATTTTTGTTTATAGCGCATTGATACCTGTAGAACGCAAACCTCAAAATGTTTGCAGATAGTTTGGCAAATGTTCACCTCATTTGGGTTTAATTGCTGGAAATTCCTGGCCTGGTAAATTATACAATCATCATATTGTTGTAAATAGGTACATGGAGACTGTATGGATTTGATCCAAGTGTCTGCAGGGTGCCTGCTCAGATGTTTTGCACTCTCTTCTTTTCACAGTTGTTTTTTACATTTGAATTCTACATTTAGTTGTGGATTAATTTGAATAATTTCTGCCCCTGTGCTGCACAGTAAGTCAGCCACAGTTCTGTCACCTGTCATTGAGTAATGCATATGAGGGAAGTGCTGAGCAGAGATCAGGCACAGCACCATGCGGAACCAGGGTCATTCTAGGCTGTCCTCGTGTGCACCTCAACTACAGATGTTACATGGCTCAGTGCAAAGCTTGGAACGGATTTCATTCTTCCCTCTTGCCTTTTTGATCATGCACGAGAGCGCCACGTAGGGGTGATCAATTGGTGGTAAACCCCTGCTATAAACAATAGTTTTCATGGGCTAAATGGTGCTTTTCTCATTTCATGCACTTTTTTTTAATTGTCCCATCCAGATATATGATACATACAGAAACCCATCACAATGCTTAAAAGTCTCCAAACCAAACTACTGAGAGTTTCACAAATGTATGGTTTTTGTTTGACTTGTTGGTCCAACTAGTCCGCTGATTATAGAATTATTTAACTATTGCTTGTTTAATTAGTTCTGGGGAAGGACAAATATGCTTCCCTGTATTACTCACACTCCTCATTTTCTCTCTGTGCTATAGAAGTGAACATCTTCTGGTCAGGGCACCAAGTACATCATAGCTCTGAGGACTACAACCTGACCACAGCCCTTCGGCAGTCTGTGCTGCAGAAATACTTTACTTGGGTAAGTCAGTTCTGAGTATTTTGAATGAAGCCTCCTGTTGTCAGTGGACAGGGAGACGGCAGTGGAAATGACGGATCATGCAGAAACAGCACATCAGGACATGAGATGCATCTCCTGAAGAGAAATTCATGTATGTCACACAAACCTGCAAGAATTCAACACCATCCAAGATCTGACTGGAGCTGAGTTCATGCAGGGCAGCGTGACACACAGGTGGTTCCATGTAGGGTGACGCACATTATATCCTGAGTCACTTTCTCCAGTATGAGGCACCATTCAAGTTGTAGATTTGCAAATTTGCCAGCAAAATACCACTTTACAGTATATTATCTGAGACGTCTCAATGCATAATAAGGTGCTGTAAGAATTAATAGAAATGTAACATTTCTGCTAATCTTATAATGATGAAACTCCAGGATAGTAAGTCAATCATGAGCTGATTGTTAAAAATCATGATTTTTTGTTGGGTCTTTAACATAGGAAATCCAATTATAAAGATACAATGGAGAGATTTCTATTTTTTGTTTTCAGTCTGTATTGGTTCCCACTACCTCCCTGGTGCATTTGGTGTGAACCACACTGAAATTTGCCTTTTTGGGATACAGATTTTTTTGTTGTTCTGCTTATACTGGGGAAAACACAGTTAGTTCTCATATGAACACAACAAATTATTTTGGGGCAAATCAATTAGACATTTGTGCTTTACACTGGTGCAACGCCTTGTGGCTTACTGTTTTATATACAGGGCATGCCCTGTTCTCTGGGAATGTAAAGATTCAGTTGAGATCAAAATGTCCCTTTCGTTCACACTGAGACCCTAAAGCCTCCATATACTCCTTTATCCTGATCATACCATCCTTCTCTACTGCCTTTCCTCTCTGCTCTGTATTCACATTTCTGTCCTATCCTGTTTAACCTCCTACCTCTTCCAGTGTTTTCATTTTGTCTCATCTGATGGCTTCCTGCCCCCACACAGTCAGATGCTGTGTTTCTCAGTCCTCTCCTCTTCCCTATTTATATATTCCCACTTGGTAACATCATCCACAGACTCTAGGTTTCATTTCCACACGTATGCCAGTGACAACCAACTCAATGTCTCTGCCACAACCCTCAATTCTAGGACCACTGGTTTCCTGATCAATTGCCTGTCAAACATCACATCCTGGATGAGCTCTAACTTTCTGCAGTTGAACATTGGCAAAGGCTCTCCTGCTTCACTCCGGTCAGTAACTTTTCAAACGCTAACAGCGTCAACTGCACAGATGCACATTCCACCTGTTGGAGCTGGTGCAGAACCTGAGTGTCTTGTTTGATCCTACCTGTATCTCAAGCGCCACATCATGGCTCTTACTCAACTTTCCCTTACCTCCGTAATATTGCCCGCCTCTACTACTACCAGTCCCCCTGGACTGCGAAGACCCTCATTCATGCTTTCATCACATCCAGGCTTCACCACGCCAATACTCTGCTTGCTCAACTCACCAGCTTGTCCCTACGCAAGCTGAAAACTATCTAGAACTCTGCAACCTTTGTGCTCTCCAAAACTGGGCTCTAGGAGCCTATCACACCCATCCTCACTCAACTCCATATGGCCCCCCATCCCCCAGTGAATTGTATTCAAGATCTTCGTTCTCACTTTTAAATCCCTCCACACACCCTTGACCCTCTGGTCTCTAATGGAACAATTATCTCTCAGGTTAACTCTTACCCCCTTTGCTTATTCTTCTGTGCAGCCTGCTTTCCCTGTGGGACTTGAGCTCAGGTTTTGCTCCTCCTCCTATAACAAGTTGACACATAATAGCTGAACACTAATAATAATAATATTCCTTGCATTTGATATAACGCCTTATCACGTCTTCGAGACTTCTCAAAGTGCTTCACAGAATATACTGTAAAGTGAATTGACTGTATATTTTGTGGGCGAACACTATTATGTGTTTCTTTCAATTCCTTGAAATGCCCAGCGAGGGACAAATAAAATATTGTACTAATAGGTTCCCTTTTTTAAATATACATCTTTAGTTAAAAACGTCACATGTAGGACATTTGGAGGATAACTTAAAACATTGTTCAGATTTACTGGGTGTGTTGTTTTGTGAACAGAATATTTGATCTTTGAGGTTCTGTCCTCAATTCTTCTTTTGATATTCTGACTGTATCTGACAGGAAATTCGCAGATCTGAACTACATTTACTGCCTATGTGGAATTTAAACCGGAAAACCAATTTGTGATTTTCCAACCAATTTCAACATGAAATTAATTGGTTTCACGACCTAACCATTAAATTTAACGGTTCCTTCAAATAACAGGTACTTTAAATTATAGCCATTTTCAGCAAAGACAAAAATTCCACCTGTTTATGTATGACAGAAATGTCAAGATAAATTTCACCCTCTCTGGTGCATTTATTGCATCAACACGTACAAAGCTCAGTATATTAAAGATGTAATGGATGTTATTATACTGAAAATGCTCAGAAAATGTTGGAGTTGAGTTTGATTTAAGTTTTGGGAAAACAAAAGTTTTGCAGAACTTATTTTCCCGACCCTCAAAAGCCACCTTAAAAACTAGCTTTATGACCATGCTTCTAGCTACTTACCCCAACTCCCTACCTTCCCATTCAAGCTCTCAGTGAGTTGTGTGAAGAGATTTGAGACAGATTTCATGTCCTCCCAACATGAAAGCCGTTATAGAAATGTAAATTATTATTCATTTGTTATTCCTAAATTATTTGTAAATTTGTTATTCAACAACAGCACAACAACTTGAATTTAAATAGCGGCCTTCACGTGGGGTAGCGTCTCGGAGTGCTTTCTGAATCTATTCAAAAGATTCATTGAATTAATGCAGGTGTGTGGAAGGTCTGAGCTTCATGGGTCAGATAAAACTCAAAATACTGTAGCTGCTGGAAATCTGATGGGTTTATTTTTTTTTGAAGGTTCCATCACTCTGGTTTCTGATGGGTCAGATGTTTTACTGTAGAAATCTACAGCACAGAGGAAAGCCATTTAGCGCATTGCATCTGTGCTGGCTCTTTTAAAGACCAATGCTTTTAGCTCTATTTCCCTGCTCTTTCCCTAATTTACTCCTGTTTAGATATCTAGCAAATCCCCTGGTTTGCATAGACTCGAGGGGTGGAATGGCCTCCTTATGCACTGTAGATTTCTATTTCCTTTCCTTTTTTCTCCCAGTGTACTGGCCAACAATTCACAAATAAAGTTGGTGATTCACTTCTTGGCTGTTGGCAGGACATTGCTGTGTGAAAATTGGCTGGTGCACCACCTACAAATACTCAGTCACTTTACAGTAAATCCTATGAAGCGCTTTGAGATGTCCTCTCAACATGAACGTTTCGCCCACAAAATATACAGTCAATTCACTTTACAGTATATTCTGTGAAGCGCTTTGAGATGTCTCGTAGGAGTGACAAGGCACTATATCAAATGCAAGGAATATTATTATTATGAAAAGTGCTATGTCAAATGCAAGGATGGTTAAAAAAAGAAGTATTTGCAAACATCATAGAGAAGCTATAAAGGCAGTGTACAGGTTATAATTTTTTGAAAAATACTGATAAAATAAACTGGAGGTGGGTACTAGGTAAAAATAAGAATATGATTTAATAATTATAATGATTTATAATCAGCACTAAATAATTCTTCCATGAATAATTTGTAACTTTAGTATTACCTTCTTCATTTGACTTTATACAAAGTTTAATTGTGGAATAACAATGTGTCTTTTTGTCTCCAGTTCTTCAATCTCCCGATGGCTTTCTTCATTCCCCCTTCAGTATTCATTGTGCATCTCCAGTTTAACCTCTTGTACCAGTTCTGGATTCACACAGAGGTACCTTTCTCTTTTCATTGGTCTGCAAATTCGTTCCCTCATCATTACTTTGTTTTAAACTGATTGGTTTTCACTATGTGCTGACATGGTACGTTATAGCACCATTCTCTGCAGAAGTAACCCTTTGAGTCTTGGATACTGTTAGCTATTGAAAGATGCACACATTTAGCTTAACCTGTCAAAAGTGATCACACATGTGGAATATGAAGATTGTGCAATAATTTGATAAATGTTTGATATAAAACCTAATATTTCCTCTGCCGTGGTATGTTTAATTAAAATAAATTGCAAACTGGGCTATTTATTATTTGATGCAGAATTACAAGTGCGGTAACCTTCGGGGTTAAAGAGCTAATGTGTATTCAAGACAAAGTGCAAAGTGTTGACAAAATAAGAAGCTGTTTTGCATTGGAAATTGTGGGGGTATCCAGCTAGAACTGAGATCAAGAGAACTCCAGCTGAGAGTGGATATTCCAGATGAAGCTTGGAGGGATGATGGCAAGGGGAGGCTACTGTGATTTATAGTGTTGTCAGTGCTGTTAACAGTTGGAGGATGCCTAATGATAACATACAACCGCAGAAAAGCTCGACATTCACTGTTAACTCTTTAACAGCTACAGGATGAAATTCTTCTTGGCACGGGATATAGAGACTTTGGAGTTAAAAAAGCACCCATGCCAGGAAAGTCACAGCGTAAATGGTGCATTTGGTTAGATAAAGAGCTTCAGGACATAAGGTTTCAGCATAGAATGCATGTGCAATAATGATAATTTTATGATGTAACATTCACTTTGACATTGTGTGTGTTTACAGCTGGATGACATTTTAGACCTTGTGTAAATCACAACTGCTCAACATTAGAAATGTGAGCTTAGACAACATGAAACAAAAAATTGCATTAATTGTATGTTTTCAGTTGTGTTACTATAATTTTATTGCAAGAATGGCAGTGTGAGAAGGTGGTTGTCATCTGTGTGAAATACAGTACCTTGCAAGTTGTGGAGGGAAAGTTGTGCGTTTATTGGATGGTTGAGTGATATCTGACTGTCCTCCATGTTTTGTCATGTTGAAATGATGAAGAGAGTACAACGTATTTCTGTTGTATGCAAATTGTTTATTACATAAAGGTATTTAGTTTTCATATATAATCTGAGAGTACAGTATCTGTTCTTTAATGTACATCTGGGAGCTGTTTCCAATACAGTAACAGAAATCAGCGATTGGAAACAGAAAATAAGCGCATTTATAGACACATGTGTCTTTACATATACTCATTCTGAACTTAAACGATTTCTAATAAATAAACTGACAGTCACAGAGTCTGACCCACTCTGTCACACTGACAGCTGCTCACTCTGTGTAGCGGTGTGTATTGGTGTAGGTCCTCTCATCAACAGTGCCCCCTTGTGGCCCCAGGAGACCTATGCCTAACTCGCTACTGCAGAGTGGTTGCTCACCTCTTTTCTCTTGGAGCCATGAGTTATCAGGAATTTACTGTATATAAGGCTCTTCACATGGTTAGGGTGTCGGAGCACTCACAGATAACATGAAAGAGGACTTTTGGCTCTGACAAGAGATCACGTTGATAATTTATAGACCGCAAAGCTTATAACAGAAAAGCGTCTCTTTGTTCCTATGCCAACTCTCTGCTTGTCTTCTGTCCATAAGTTGCAGATCATTCAGAACTCTGCAGCTCATGTCCTCACCCGCACCAGGCTCTATGACTCTATCATCCCTACCCTTGCCCGGCTCCACTGGCTCTGAATCCCCTAGAATATAGTGTTCAAAATCCTTGTCCTCACATTAAAGCCCTCCATGGCCTTGCTCCTTCCTACCTCTGTGACCTACTAATGGCATATCAACCTGTCCGTTCCCCCTGCCCAGCCTGCCCTACCATTGGCGGACAGGCCTTCGGCCTCTCTGCCCCACCGTTTGGAACTCCATCCCACATCCCTTTGCCTTGCTCCCTCTCTTGCCTCCTTCAACAACAACAAGATTACATTTGTACAGCGCCTTTCACGTCAGGAGGACGTCCCAAGGCTCTGGACAGTGTACAGCATTTCAGACACGAGCTGGGGGCAGGGAGGGGAGGGGAAGGAGGGTCACCGATGGCATGGCCGAAGAGGAGGGTCTTGAGGTGGGACTTGAAGGAGGCTAAGGAGGGGGCAAGGCGGAGTGTTTGGGGGATGGTATTCCAGTGATTGGGGGCAGAGTGGCTGAAGGCTCTCGTACCAATGGTGGGGCAAGTGAGTCGGGGGACGTGGAACAGGTCAGAGCCGGCTGAGCCGAGGGAGTGGGTGGGTTGGTAGGGCAAGTATCAAGACCTTCCTCTTCACTACACCTTCGGCCACCCTCCTACCCCTGCCATCCACCCCTCCTGATCAACGTCCTCCTGACGTGAAAGATGCTATACAAATATAATTTGTTGTTGTTGTTACTGAGAAGACAAACAGGGACTTTACAAAATAGATTCCTTGTGCTAATTGTGACTCCCTAATTTGAACATTAGATTATTACATTTGAAAAGTTAACAAAAAATTTAGTTTTTGTGAATAAAAACAAGAAGTGAACAAAACGCCGACTGGAAGTTCAAGTAACACAATTAATCTAGTTTGTGAATTTTGTACAGGTAAACAAAAACTATGTTTTTACCTTTTACCTTGTGGAGTCCTGTAGCTCAGTGGTTAGAGCACTCGGTTTGCAAGCAAGAGACCTGAGTTCAATTCCAGGCAGGGCGAAACCTTGGGCAAGTTTCCTTACTCCACACACCTAATAATAATCCCTCCAAAAAAACAAAAACAATAATAAATTGGTCATTTTCAATCTACAACTGTTTGTGGGACATTGCTGTGCGCAATTGGCTGCCGCGTTCGCCCACAAATATACAGTCAATTCACTTTACAGTGTGTTCTGTGAAGCGCTTTGGGACGTCCTCCCGACGTGAAAAGCGCTATATCAAATGCAAGGATTACTATTATTATTATTATTATTATTATTATTATTGACATGTAATAATATATTGGTGTAGCTAAGATGGGTGTAACTAAGCTTGTATTATATTTCTCAGTATTTCTTCTGCAACAGAACATGGAGTCTCTTCCTTTTTTTACCCCCAACCCACCCATTTCTGGACTCGAAATCCATCTCCTGCAGTCAGGGGTTACCTCTTTTGGGAATCATTGGAAAAGCTCCATGTTTTCAGCCTGATCTCAAGCAGTGGTCTCCACACCCCCACTGTGATATTTACGATCTTGGCAGGATAGTCATCAGAGACACCTTCAGATTGCCTGTGATTTAGCTCCGATCTATAAATATTTTTGTTTCTGTCTCTTTATTTGGGAGAATTGGCTATCTCAGTTCCCTGTGCTTATTTAAATAAAAAATATTGCCTCATCAGATAAGAAAACAGTTAGCGCTATACAAGTTGGGCTTTGAAAAGGATTTCAAAGTGCAAAACTATGTCGGCTTTCAAGCCTCCTATGGATTATCCTTCCCCTTATAGCCTCCCCCGCAGAGTCCCAAACCGGCAAGTGTGGTCACAAAGCCCATCTGTGTAAATACACATTGCAGTGCCAAGCACTGAGGCTATATCTTTACGCTAATTCAGAGCTTTAATTAAATTTAAACCCGGATCCAGAAAATGGCATGAGGTGAAGAACAAGAGTATTACAATTAAAGGCATGTCATTTTTGTTGTTTTTTCTGTGTATAAGAAATTCTAACAAGTTTATGTGTTGCTAGTTATCTTTAATTAATGCCCTCTAGTTGCCAACTCACTGGTCGGTAGAGATAGTTTCTACTTGCTGTGTTCACCTTATTATTAAACTCTCTCATTGTTTTTAACACCTCCACTACATCTCTTTTCAACTGTCTTTGTTCTAGTAAAACATGCTTCATATTCTCTATTCTCTTCATAATTGAAAGCTTCTATCCATGGTATCATCCTCACAAATATGTCTCCTCCTATCATTTCCTTCCTTCCGCACTCAGTTATTTTCAGAATACTTCAGTGGTTAATTCTCAGGCCCCTTCTTTTCCTTATATATACGTTCCTTCTTGGTGACATCAATGACAAACTCAGGGTAACTTCCACATCATGTAGATCATGTAGATTTGCTTATCCACTTGAACTCTTGTTTCCCTCACGTCCTGACACCTCCCTACCTCTCTGACTCTGTGCGCAATTGGCCGCTGCCAATTTCAAAGAATTTCAAAGTCAATAAGATTTCAATGATAACAATAATCATAATTTTGGCCATAAGATACAGTCAATTCATTTTACAGTATAACCTGTGAAGCGTTTTGAGACATCTCAAAGACATGAGCCTGTTCTTTCTTTCTATTAGATCATGGCTGATCTGTACCTCAATTCCAAATACCCGCCCTTGCCCCATATTGCCCCAACCTCTGGAACTCCATCCTGCAGTCCCTCCGTCTTGCCCCCTCCCTCGCCACCTTCAAGACCGACCTCAAGACCCTCCTCTTTGACCATGCTTTCGATCTCCCTGCTTCCACCCCTGCCCTCCCCACTCCCCCACCCCGACCCTCAGACAAACGCTGTCTGTCCAATGCCTTGGGACGTCCTCCCGACGTGAAAGGCGCTATACAAATGTAATTTTGTTGTTGTTGTTTCCTGTCTGTCCACCTGCCTAGTCACACATCATGACCTGGATGAGACTCAATTTTTTTGCAGTTCAACATGGATAAGATGAAGGCAAGCCTCCTTTGTTGCTGCCAATGTCTCCTCACTTCCGCATCTGACCTTTTCAACCTCGTGGCCTTTCACACAAACTCAATGAAGCAATGGGCAAACTTGGTGTTTGATTCGATCCTCAGATCTGCTTCCTTCTTCCCAATCGATCCCTGACCAAGAATACTTTTCTTCACCACTTTCAAAACTCCACTGTCCGGATCCTCATCCACCCGAAACTCCACATGTCCATCACCATATTTCTTGCCATGCTCCAATGTCTCCGTATTTTCCAATGGATTGATTGCAAAGTCCTCACCCTCACCTATAAATTCCTTCAAATTCCTTGTGATCTCTATCCTCACCCTTGTGCTGCTGCAGTAAACTCAGATCTGCTTTTTATCTCCCACCACAAGAGGCCAAGCTTTTAGCAACTATGAGCCAACCCTTTGTTTCTCTTTATCCAACTTCAAATGTGTCAATGCATCAGCCTGGATCAGTTGGTAATACTCTCGCCTCTAAATCAGAAGATTGTGGTTTCCAGTCCCACCTCACCATCCTTGTGAAGTACTCCAACATGTTAAGTATGAAAGGCGCTATATAAATGCAAGTTGTTATTGTTGAATCTCTGCTCTACTCTTGCAAAAGCCTTGACATCTTTCCTAAATTAAGGTGCCCAGCATTGAACACAGAACTGCTGATCCAAATAGAAGACTTAAATACAATAGTCTAATTCAGATCCAGTCAGAAAAAGTTTACCAATGATTTGACCTTTCATTCTTAAGATGTTAAATAAATACAGTCAATCCAGCCCAGAGACAACAGCACAATTGAGAAATCAGATATATTTTGTATAAAATCTACTATATAAATTGTGCGTTTGTATCAGCAGTTTACAAAATCACAATCCAAGCAGAACAGTTCTTGACAGACTAGCCACTTGTGGAATATCATTTGACTGTGGAGCTGAAGCTTCAATATTTTATGTGACTGAATCAGCTATAGAAATGAATGAGAACTCCCCAATGCTTCAGAGAGTTTACTTAGTAAGTAGCTGAGCCATACAGACTGGGAACTTCCCTGGTTCGATTCCTTGCTCTGAGCCAAGTTATCTGACCTCACTGAGTAGCAGTATGAATACTAAAAGTGGCCTCAGTTAAGAGTTCAGGAAGGGGGAAATCAACTAGTATTCTTTGTCCTGATGATTCTCCAATGACCCCTGCTGGAGGTACACATGTGTGGATGTCAGTTGCGGATGCTAGTGTACTTGACTGTGACACCTTCCCTTCATAACTGAATAGTTTGCTGACCATAGAAATTTGTACAAGAGGTCAATTGGTGCCATGTTGGCCCTCTGAAAGAGCGATCCATTAATTCCCAGTCTTCTGCCGTTACCTATATCCTTTTATATTTATTCCGTCTTAACAACAACAACTTCCATTTATATAGCACCCTTCATGCGGGGTAGCACTTCACAGTGGTGAAGTTTGACAATGAGCCAGGGGGAAAGGGAGGGGGGAGGTGACCGTACGTACAATCAAAAAGGAAGATCTTTAGGCGGGATTTGAAAGTGAGGAGGGAGGGGGCAAGGTAGAGGGATTGAGGAAGAGAGTTGCAGAGTTTTGGGGTACAGTGGCTGAAGACACACTCATCGATTGTGGAGCGGAGGGAACGAGGGACAAAAAGGAGGTCAGAGCCAGTTGAGTGGAGACAACGGATGGTGGAGTAGGCGAAAAGCAGATCAGATAAGTAGGGAGGTGCTAGAGCATGAAGGGATTTGAAAACTTGAAATAGGCCATTCAATGTCCTAAAATCTCTCTGTGTAAAACAATCTCTTAACCTCTCCCTTGGTTCTTTTGGTTAATTACCTTGAATATATGATCAATCACACTCGAGGCTAACAAGTGAATATAGGCCACTTGGGTAAGATGGAGGTCGGGGTGTGGGGGAGATGTTCTACACTTTAGTTAAAGTTCCTCATTCAAATGCAGCAATGATGACTTCAGCAAGCGACTACTAAAGCAGGAAGTTAATTTGTATGGTTTACCTCTTGAATTATATAATAATTAAAGCAAAATATGTATCAAGTGGCTTTCATTCAAATCAACATGCCACACCACATTATATTAGGTACAATGTCTAATTGTTCCTCCATTCCACTGGCTCCGGTCTGCTCCACGTCCCCCGCCCCAACTGCCCTACCATCGGTGGCCGGGCCTTCAGCCTCTCAGCCCCTAGGCTCTGGAACTCCATCCCCCAGTGCCTTCGCCGCCTCCTCCCTTTCCTCCTTCAAGGCCGGTCTCAAGACCTTTCTCTTCGACGGTACTTTCAGTTCCCCTCTCGACTCTCTACCCCCTCCTCACTCCCTCCCTTCCCTCCCCTCACCCTGACCATTTCCCCCACTGCTCGGGTCCTGACCCAACTGTACAGCGCCTTGGGACGTCCTCCCGACGTGAAAGGCGCTCTATAAATGAAATCTTGTTGTTGTTGTTGTTGTAATTGGCTTACTGCTGCTCAGATCAGCCACTTATGCCTGCTAACAAACATGGTGACCATTTGGCTATCAAGAATGGGAACTGTGGCAGATTTTTACCCTCCCTAGTCCAGGGCATACTGAAGCTGTTTTCAGCATCCCAATTGTCCTCAGATGGACATTAAAGATCCCATAACCCTATTTGAAAAGAGAAAGGGAGCTCCTCCAATATCTGGCCAACAATCCTCCAGATAAATTGGTAATTTTTTTTAAAGCTGTTTGTAGGACTATATAACGTACAAACTGGCTGTGCGTTTGTTTACAAATAAATGCCTGTATTGAAATTTTTTACTGTCAGTATTTACTGTAAAGTGATTTTGAGATTTTTCAACTTGATAAGACAATATAAAAATGCTCTGTGTATAAAAAGTTTTATTTTTATTCAATGAAAGTTCAAAATTATTTTAAATAAATGAATTGATGACTCAAAATAAATGGGCTCTTTCAAAAAGGAGCAAAGAAATTACCTAATAATAGGCACCACATGGTTAGAGAGTTCAGATTTAACCTTAAATTAAATCAATTTTATTATTTAACCCAAATTAACATATGTGTGGATTCCATGCCTTTAGGCTGGAGGGATGCACAATTCAATTTTGATGGGATAGCTAGGTTAATAGAGTATGAGTTTCAAGGCTGTTTCCTGCTGCAGTTATGGCATGGATTTATTAATAACAATCACACAAGAACAATGCAATTTTCAGCCTGCTGATCAAAACAGAACATGTGAGGGGATGCGGAGAAACAACACAGCCAACCAAGCCTGACCTGCTCCTCATCTGATAACCACACCCACCACTTTCCAATAGGGGTCACTGGATAATAATAATACTGATTGTTACATTTGGTATAGCTACAGGAGCCTTGTAGCCCTGTCATTGATAATTGCTCCAGAACGCCACCCTGCGTGAGGGTGCTATGCAAATGCAAGCTGTTGTTGTATCACTCCTTTCACGTCCGGAGAACACCCCAAAGCACTTCACAAGATATACTGAAAAGTGAGGTGATTGTGTACTTTTGTGATAATTGTCACAACTGAATCTGTAATTGTTATTGTTGTGCAGTAGTAAGTGCTTTCTAGTTCTTAGTTTCTAGACGTTCTTAGGTCTAAGACCATCATCTTAAAATTTAAGGTACTGCAGAATATTTGAAATTTGAGAAGTTTGACTACTTTGGAAGTTAGTTTTCTGAAGTTCTTTTTGGGTACTTTGAACAAATGTCTTCCAAATTAGTACTGAATTGAAGATTTTTTTCAGAATTATGCTTCATCTTAAATTTCTAAGCCCATGAGAAATTTTAGATGTGTGGTTTCAAAATGGGGGAAATTGTCAAAATGTTAAGAAAGGCGAGGGAATCAATTACTTTAAAAGCAGAACCAAAAGTTCCAAAAATATAACACATACAGACAGATGGAGGGTGAATATCAAATGCCTAAAAAAAATCAGTGAATCTAATGGTGGCGTATTGCTCCTTTAAACAATCTTTTTTGTAGCTGATTGTTATGGGACGCATGCATTGAATTGATGTTGAGAAAAATGAGCCAAACCAGTAGGTGGAGATTACTCAAAAGAAACTGAATCCTCTGTCTGAGAAGCTGGTAAGCCACTCAATGATTTCCACACATTGAGAATATCACAGCCTATCTTGGACACAGACAAAACCTGCCTTCCACCTCCCCATTTCCTCTGAAGGAAAACAATTTTAATTAGCAGTCAGTGCGGGGATATTCAATTCAAAATAAAACTCAAAATGGTTCTTATGGTAGCTATTACATTGCAATGTTATGATTTCAACATATGCTTTTATGTCATTTTGAATTTAAAAATAAAATTGTTTCCTAATCCCCTGAGTTGACAGTGCATAGTTATTTTGCTCTACTCATATTTTTGGCAGTAAAGCCCAGTGTTAAACAGTTTCCTGACTCTGTTGCAGATAATTGGTAACCTTGGGCCTCTGGAACTGATCCTCAACACACCCAGTCACCACAGAGTCCACCATGGTAAGTCTGGTCTGGTCAAATGGACTTCTGTCTAGTAAAATGTGTAAATGTTCCGGCTGTCTGGAAGTCTGTCAGCAGACATCTTTCAGACACCTTTTATTGAAGAGCTTCGAAGAGACTGCAGATCTATATATATTTTCTTTAAACACAGAGTGGATTGTACTTAAAGAACAAAATGAAATCCCGATGAAGGAACAATTAGTTCTCCCAGGAATTCTGTGCTTCAGAAAAAGATTATGATTGGGCCAGGGTTTGTTTTTCTTATATAGTGCAGATTAAAAACAGCCAGGTGGCAAATACTCAAACCATTTAATCATTCGTTCAGCACGTAAATGAGAACATGAGACAGAAACCTGGACCTGTAATATTATAGCAATTAGCTGTTGTCTAGGTGAGATTTGCCAGTGTATTGGTTGTGCTAACAGATGATTGGGGAACATTTCTTGCTGGATGCATGGACTGTAAACAATGGGTTTGAGCATTGGTTTAATACACAGGAACTTTAGATGGGACCTGGCCGAATAGGGATGGGAAAGGGAGGTGGGAAGGAGCATTGATCGAGAATCGGTACATTTATCAACCTTGGCAGTAAATTAGAAATATCCGCTAAGCTATCACCACCAAGGTTGGTAAATTTAGTGAACGTGGGACATGCTTGCACTGCTAATGTCAAATGTTGGGAGAATTTTCTTCTCCATCCCCCCAACTCCCTATTGTGTGGAGTTAAAATTGAAATTCTGTCTAACACATTTTAATATTATTCCAGGGCTACCCTGATGTCTGTACAGCTGAAGCTAAAACAGTGCAGTCAATTTGAACCAAATCTGTAAATACTTGGAAGATAATTATTTCAATATTACCTTTACCAGAATGTCCTCTGCATATCCTGCCTAAATATGCAACAGGATCCTCTTACATTATTTAAAACCTTCGCTTTCAATGAACCTCCAATTTGGATCTCTTACTTGTATCCGCAACAGACCACAGCAAACTAAAGGAAAAAGTATATATTCTGCCAAGGAGTTGTTTAAATTCAATTCCATTTTAATAGACATTATTGTCCCTGTATATCTTCCCCACTGCACACATTGTTTGTAGCAAACGTATCTTTTTACAAGAACAAATAATGCATTTATATAGTGTCTTTCATGTTGGGGGAACATCCCAAAGCGCTGGGCAGTCGAGATTTTGCACCGAAACTTGGGGTTAGATTAAGGGGCCAAAGGTGGATGATGTGAGAGGAGAAAACATTTACTCAGTCTCAGAATTGGAAAATGGAAGAGATTAGCTTGAATTTTTTTTAAATACACACAAAATGAGTGTTTCAATTCAATAAAGAATCGTGGGATTATCCAGACTAAATGTGTAATCAAAATACAATATAATAACAGTAGGAATTGGTGAAGATTCCTTCAGGTACACAGTCACATATACACATTCTTACTTGAACACACTGTATTGTCAGGTTCACCTACAAAACACACTGTCACTACATTTTTACAGTGTACTGTACTTTGTGAATCGCTTCAAGATATCTTGCCCGTGTGAAAGGCGCTATATCAAATGTAAGGATTACTATTATGTACACCCATACACTCACTCAAGCAAACATAAACACACTCACACACACACCTATAATGTGGAATACTCTCACTTACGTACTTAGATATAATACATATTACTACAACATAGACAAGCTTATTCATTCTTATAAACACATTGCATATTCACTCACCCACCCAAACATACTCACAAATGCTTAGGCACATGCATCACTTCACAGATAGGCACTTGGATACAATATATCAATGAACCCTCACCTACATATTTGGGCACACTCACTGGCAGATTGGTGATAATTAAGGATGGCAAATATATTGAAAAACACTTCAATTTTGACCCTGGTAAATGCACTTGCTAAAAAGTCGGTTCCTTTCTCTCTACCCTAGAATAAAATTGGGATGGGCATTCTCAATCCTGCATGATGCCTCGCAGAACAAAATTATCTACTGTATAAGGTGGCACTAAGTTAACAATCTCACTCAGAGGGTCCCCAAAGATTGTTGTTATGAAAAATGTAAACATTTCCAGTACAAGTGCTTTTCCACGGTCTTTGCTAAGCACATTGTTGGGGTTTCTGTAGACTACTACTGACTTTGGAGCACTTGACCCTGAGACCTGGTGAGTGAAAATAATAATCCATTCCTTCAACGCCACCATCACACATCAAGATGGGCGCAATTCACGAAAGTAAAAATTGTAATACCAGATTTCAAATTATACCCTGCAATGCCACCTTTCATCGGAAATGAGCAACAGGGAAATTATCAGCTACTGAAATGCAATATTAGGTGAGATTTTATTTCCCTGAAATGTAATTTGATTTGATGTCTATTGCTCATGGAACTTGCTGCACCCTTCTGAACTGTAAAGAATGAATAGCTTGTACTTGGAAGCAACTTTTATTTTTTTCATCCTTCAGGGCGGAATCAGTACTGTATTGACAAGAACTATGCTGGAACTCTTATCATTTGGGACAGGATCTTCGGTATGTTGAAAAGTTTCAGCTGCCTTGGCAAAGACACTTGTCTTATTCACCTTACAGAACTGCCTGGAATCCAGCAAACAGCAGGGTAGCTGGAAACATCAGCCACAAAACAAACATAGGCTCCATTTTGTTGGCTTTTAAGGTCCATAGAAACAAAATCAGTTCTGGCTGCTTCACTGAACTTCATTCTCTTGTGAGCCTCCTGTGATCTTCTCCTACCCCACTCTTCTTAATAATATAATAATGATCCTTGCATTTGATATAGTGCTTTTCACGTCTTCTATCCGTCTCAAAGCGCTTCACAGAATATGCTGTAAAGTGAATTGACTGTATATTTGTGGGTGAAACGCAGCAGCCAATTGTGCACAGCAGTGTCCCACAAACAGTCGTGGATTGAAGATGACCAATTTATTATTGTTTTGTTTTGGAGGGATTATTATTGGGAGTGTGGAGTAAGGAAACTTGCCCAAGGTTTCACCCTGCCTGGAATTGAACTCAGGTGTCTCACTTGCAAGGCGAGTGATCTAACCATTGAGCTACAGGACTTCTTCTCTCCCTCCTCAATTCATTTTACAGTATATTCTGTGAAGTACTTTGAGACATCTCAAAGACATGATAAGGCGCTGTATCAAATGCAAGGATTATTATTATTATTAAGCGTAGTACTCTCTGCAGTCTGTTCCACAGTACTTCATGGCACTACTGATGACTGACGAGTCAGCCTGGCTCATCAGCAGACAGTGATGTATACTGGTAGAAGGGATTCTTCTTCTCCTGTTAACCCTGTAAGTCACAGAAGAAACGAGTAGGGTGATCCTAAGTGGACAAGTGTCTCAGTATTCACAATGGCAAGCTGTGTGATTTTAGCTAATTAAACTTCAGATGTCCCCCCAATTCACACACTGACGTGCCCAAGTCTTGAATCTCGTCAACTTGTACCTAATATAATAAAAATAAAAAATAATAAATTGGTCGCTTCAATCCACAATTGTTTGTGGGACACTGGGTTTGATTCCCAGGCATGGTGAGGCCTTGGACGGGTTTCCTCATTCTGCTGTTTGCCTAGTGTAGAGTGGGAACCCAGTTGTTCGGCGATTGGCGGATTGCTTTCTGGGGGTAATAATCCCTTCAAAAAATATATATAATTAAAATAATAACAATTTGGTCATTCAATCCACAACTGTTTGTGGGACACTGCTGTGTGCCCACAAAACACACAGTCACTACACTTTACAGTATATACTGTGAAGCGCAAGAATTATTATTATAATATATGTGGAATTAGATAAGCTGGGTGCTCCCTCCAGGGAAAGTAAACGTTCCATTAGAGACACAAATAAATTTCCACGTGTAGGTGGAAAACCGTATCCAAACCAGACTAAGAGTTCCGGATATTTTTGTAATCTTGTTTCCCCTCTCCACTCCCATCAGCTCCCAACCCCAGCTCAGATGCTAGTCATTGCTGTTAAGCTTTGTGCGACGTACTCCCAACATGAAAAGTACTCTATAAATGTAAATTTCTAGTACATTGTATTGATACTCCTAATCATGGCAATGGGGTTATGAATGTGCCAGATACCAAGCTAACCAAAAAAAAATAAAGGGTTCAGCCAAAAGTTCAGTCTGAAAGCACAGACTGCATTTCCTCCAACTCCCTTCCCCAATTTGTTTTGATTCCTAGTGGTACTCAGAGAGGTGGATTGTGCACAGGAAATCTCCAAGAATTTTCCCTTTCTGAGCTAACACACCTACCATGCCAACAGATACTCTGTCAAGAAATCGAAACAGAAACATAGGATATACAGGATAAAGCACAGAAGCAGCTTATTCTGCCCATCGTATGTGCATTGGTACTATTGCAACTATCAGCTCCAACCCCATTCCCTTGCTCTTTCCCCTAAACGTTTAATATTATTTTCACTCAAATATTTATCCAATCCCTTTTAAAATGCTGTTATGCTTGGCTTCAAGACCGATTTGTGGTGAAGCAAAAAGTATTGGCAGCACTTATGGGAAAAAAGAATTTCCTCGTTTCAATTTAAAAAAAATCAATCTTCCAAAAGTCTATGGTTTGCCTTTTTTCCCAAAAATAAATGGATTTTGTTCCCAGAGAGAGAATGGCCTCAGTATTTATACTACACAAGGATCATCCACCCCCAACATCCCCATGGAATTCCATCTGAAGAAAATATATCCAACAGGGTCATTCATATTTATCTAGTGGCTCAAATGGAGTGCCCCCTTGTTGAATAGAACAGTGCAATTATTGAATCCATGCCCATGGTAACATTGATTTGGAAGTATCATTCAGGTCAGCATCTTCTGTAGCACAGATCTCTAGTGTTTCCCATCTTGCCAAACTCTGAAATTCTTCCAGGAAGGTATCCCACATTAAAAGTTACCCAGCCAACCTTAACTTATCTTCAATGTGGTATCAGGGTCAATGATGTGATAATTTAATTAAAGGATTTCTGAATGAAAAAATCCGGAGTTCAGGAACCCGTCTCCCAGGCTCCAACCCTATATTTAGATCAGGATTCCTGCGTATGACATACTTTCAGTTGCTGTAAGGAAACCCCACTCTGATTTCTGATTCATCTGTAAAATAAGAAATCAATTAATAAATCAGTAAAATTGGCCCAAACACTTTCTTCCTATGTAAATAATAGAAGTTAGACTTACAAGCATGATATATGATGCTCATGTACAGCTATAAATCATGATGTTTTTGTGAATATATCACTATTTCTCTTTACAGGAACTTTTGAACCAGAAAGTGAGAAAGTCATCTATGGCCTAACTCACCCAATCAATGCATTTGAACCTTTCTGGGTGCAGGTAAACATTCTTGCATACAAATGAATATATTTATGAAGGTTTATTGTGATGTTTGTGTTGAAGGTGGTGTTGGTTTGGCTCAATTGGTACACTCTTCTATGGGTTAGACAGTTGTGAATTCAAGTACTTTAAACAATAGCCTACACCAGTGGTGGCCAACCTTTTTGGTCAGCCAAACAAATAAATATTTTTTCATTATACTGATGCATTGGCCCATGGACCACTTTTGGGAGGTCAAGAAGTGACCTGCCGATAACCTGCATTAGTCCAGGCAAGGCCACATCAAATCAATGTCTTGTTCCCAGTAGCTAACAAGCTGCAATATCCATGGAACGGCCATAAATGAAGAAAAATTCAATAAAGAAAAATGTATTTGGTTGCCCAACCAAAGAGGAAGTACAAAACAAAAAGTACTGGAGATGCTGGAAATCTGAAAACAAAAACAGAAGTCGCTGGGAACACTCAGCAGGTCAGGTAGCATCTATGGAGAAAAGAAAGTGAGTCACGTTTCGAGTCCACGACCCTTCAAAAAGAAAATACCATTACATTGTCCAAAAATGGAGTCATCCAAATAAGACTTTAACTAAGTCTGCCTGTTTTTTGGTTGGCAATAAAAAATCCAATGACTGTTTTAAAAGTAAATTTCTTCCAGTGACTAATCAAACAGATCAATCCTGGCAGCAAAACCTAATACTCAAAGATTTAGTTTTTTTAAAAAAGATCACAATCTGAAGATGTTTCATTCACTTCATGACTGTTTGAGGGACGTTGTTGTGTACAAATTGGATGGCACATTTGCCAACAAAATGCACAGTCACCATACTTTACAGTAAATCACATGTAGCACTTTCAGACATTTTGATAATGTGATCAGGTGCTTTATCAATTGAAAGGATTATAATGTATATTATTAAAAACTTGTGTTAGTTCATCTTAAGGTTGCTGATACAATGAAAAGTTAACCTCATGTCTGTTTTGGGACTTTGCTGTGTGCAAATGGTTGCTGGATTTATCTTTACAAAACCAGTCACTACACTGTTAGAAATTCCTTGTGAAGCCTTTTTAGATATTTGGACATGATGAAGTCCAATAAGAAAGCAAGTTAGCTAACGTGTATTAGCAATACATTTACTGGAGACTCGCACTAACCCAGGGTCTGACTTCATTCTCTTCTATATTGCAAGCCAAGGAAAATTTAATTCCTCCGAGGTAAACTTGAATTTAACAGAATGCATATGTTAATATTAAACAGGATAATGCAGAGTAAACTGCTTGTCAGATAAAAGACACCTGATACTTTTAGCATACATTTTGGAAAGAAAAGCCCCAACAATTACTTCACCCAGTGGCGGATCGTGTTGACAGCTTGGACGTTTCCTGTGGTTCTGGAATGGAATATTAATCTACTCTATGGAAAAACAAATTTTATATGCTTACCTATTGCTGAGGAAGAAATTGTCATCAACTTGTATTAGAATCAGCAGATTGAAATCTGGGATTTTTAAAAAATATTAATTTACTTATATATTTTTCAATAAATAATAACCCCTTTAAAAAAATGTTGTCACTTAATTCATGACTGTTTGTGGGACACTGCTGTGTGCAATTGACTGCCACATTTCGCCCAGTCAATTCACTTTACAGTATATTCTGCGAAGTGCTTTGAGACGTTTCGAAGATAAAGCACTATATCAAATCCAAGGATTATTATTTATTATTTATTATCTTCCGTTGAGATCCTATTGGTCTATCTCCATTGTTACATGTTGTTCTTTGACGTAGAAGACCGCAATGATATTATCAAAGAGACTAGACGGTGAACATATCGCTCCCCTTGTGAAGTCATGTCAACATTGAGAGAATATTCCACCTGGGTCTAAAATTACTCTATTTATGTAACATTTCTGAGGGGTCAGAATTTGGAAAATTCCTAAATGCAGCTTTAACTTTGAACATAGTTTTCTGTAAGTTCGCTCAGAGCAAGGATTCTTCCCACTCAGCTCCTGTTAACCCTACAAGATTGTTTCTCTCAATGCTTCATGTAACTTCAGTGATTTTAGGACATCTAGATTCTGGTCAGCTTTAATTAGAATACACATTTGCCTGCAAATACAGTAAATACAGTACAGTCACTACATTTCACAGAAATCTTGTGAAGTCTTTTGAACTCATGAATTCTTAGGTGCTATATCAAATGTAATGATAATTTTAAAAAATTATCATAGTGCAAACTTGTCTTAAAATATGAATCGTATCCCTGCTTCTTATAATGATATGCAATGCAATCCTACATTATCTTTTGAAAAAATATTTGTTCTGCTTATTCACTCTAAAAACAACTGAGTTTGCATTGCCTAAATGTACTGCAATGACCTACAAGCATACATTGCCAGTGGGTCTGCTACACATGAGAAAAACAGATAAGCGGTCAAAGTGCCTCGACCTAAGTTTATACGTGCTAAAAAAAATGGTTTCCTAGAAGGTTTGAGGAACAGGGTCCAATTCCTACAGAAACCACCCAGTTTCAATTTCATAGAATAACAAAGATTTTCGAATAGAGTAAATTCCTTTTGCAAGCCTTGGTTGCAGAGCAATTGAAAATAGGATATTTTGTAAAGGTTCTCACTTCATGGGGAAGCTTTAAAATGATTATTGCTGCATGTTGGATATGGTAGAATGTTGGCACTTAAACAGGAATGGGGAAATAATAATAATCATCATCCTTGCATTTGATATAGCACTTTTCACATTGGGAGGACATCTCAAAGTGCTTCACAATATAATGCAAAGTGTTGTGACTGTGTATTTTGTAACTATAAATTTGTGCTTCAGCAGTAACCTATACGTAAATTACATCCTTTAATGTAAAAAAACTGTCTTAAAGATTTTACAGAATGAGGTCAATTAGAAATGAAATGTATTTTTATTATTTAGGCAAATGTGGCAGCTATATTACTGTAAAATGACAATGAGATGAATAGTCCAGAATATCTTGGGAATATCTTTTGTCCGAGAGATTACAAAGAAACTGCATTACACATTGTACATATTGGATCACTTTTCCAGGATAAACAGTTATGAGCTACAATGTGCTGAATTAAACAGGGCTGAGAGCTCGTCTGTGATAACCAGCACGGGCTGAGACTGCCCTCTTCTTGTGGGAAGAATGAGATTGAGAAGAGACCAATAATAGTTCATTTTGTGTAACTCTTGTTAATGTTTTTTCCAGCTCCATCACTTGCTTTACATTTGGAAGACATTCTGGGCTACCCCTGGCATAAGTAACAAACTTTCTGTCGTCTTCAAGGGACCGGGATGGGAGCCAGGCAAACCCAGACTTGGCTGTCCCGACGATCTTCCTAAGGTATGCAATGCCAGACTTTGTTTATATAAGTTTACAGATAAAACAATGCTCTGGATCACACAATTAAGGCCACCACTTTTTGTAGACAAGCCAAATATTTCAGAAGTAAAAAATCAGCCTCATGTTTAAAATGCTCATTATTGCGTTCGGTCACAAATCTCATTCTGCAGTTCATTCCAATTTATTCAGTACAATTTAAAAAGTCAATCAACATAAAGCTGCACTTCTGCTTAAAGCCAAAGTTATCCTATAATTAAACTTATCTCATACCCAGTCTGTTGCTTTCTCTGCAAAATACCGTGCTTACAGCACTGTTTAGTTATGAAGCTGTTTAACGTATGAGAGAATTAGTTTCCACCTATAGAGCATCATTTGTTTACTCACCATCGATCTTCACTCTTTATTCCTGGATCCACTCTGTGATGGAAGGTCACATGAGATCAAAGACCAGAGGTTAGTGGCAAGAATGCATAAAGTGTCCATTAACTGTCCTTCATCAATTTCAAGATCTTCTCACCCATCTACAAATCCTTTCATGCCCTGGCACCTCCCTACCTTTCTGACCTGCTTCCTCCCCACTTCACTATCCGCTGCCTCCACTCAGCTAGCTCTGGTCTCCTGCTCGTCCTTGTCCCCTCCTCTCTACAATCAGCGACCATGCTTTCAGCCATTACGCCCCCAAAGCTTTGGAACTCTCTCCATCAATCCCTCTACCTTGTCATCTTCTTTCCCTCTTTTAGATCACAAATGAAGACCTTCCTCTTTGACCGTGCTTATGGTCACCTCCCCCACCCACCGCCACCAGCACCGGCTCAGCATCAGACTCCGTCAATGTTAAGTGCTCCGAGACTCTGCACCACGTGAAGGGTGCTATATAAATCTAAGTTGTTGCTGTTATTAGAATTAGTCCATGTCTACAAACAACAACAGCAATTTATATGTATATAACGTCTTTCATGTCAGGACAATGTCTCAAAGAGCTTCATTGGGAGCTAACTGGTAGCCTGAGCTGGGGATAAGGAGGAGGAGAAAGGTAGCCAAAAGCTCAGTCAAAGAAATGGCTCTCAAGGGAGGGAGGAAGGATGGTGATAAGGCAGAGGGACTCCAGGATTGGGATTCCAGAGAGCGGAGCAGAATGGTTGAAAGCTCACCCACTGTTAGTGGGGCAGAATGTATGGGGTGTGAAGTCGTCCAATGTTTGTTGAATGAAGGGAGCACCAGGTCAGTAAGGTCACAGAGGTAGGCAAGTCAAGGCCGTAGAGGAATTTTAAAGCAAGGACGAGGATTTTGAATTTAATTCGCTGAGGAATGGGGAACCAATAGAGTTGGGAGTAATGAGATCATGGAGCCTGGTGTGAGAAAATACATGGGCTTCAAACATCTGGATAATCTTCAGTTAGTGTAGAGAGGAGCTGTGGAGTCCGGCGAAGTTGAGTTAATGAGCCTGAAGGTGATGAAGGTGCGGGTGAGGGTCATAGTGGCCTGAAGGGAAAGGTAGTGGCAGAGGTGGGTGATATAGGGTGTTGAGGGAAAGCAGAGCAAGTGAGAATCTGGTTGTAGGGTTTGAATGACAATTGCGAGTCGAACAAGACACCAAGGGTTCCTAGAACCCTTAAAAAAAACTTTAAATCCTTAGGTTCTGTAACTTCAAAACAGGTGAAGGGTGCAGCAGTTTTTTCAGAGATAGGCTTCATTAACTAACACCCACCTGGCGAAATGCAATCATGAGACAACAGAGGGAAATTAGAGTTTTAAATAATAATAATAGTAATAATTCTTACATTTGATATAGCACCTTATAATAATAATAATAATCCTTCCATTTGATATAGCGCTTTTCATGTCGGGAGGACGTCCCAAAGCGCTTCACAGAACACACTGTAAAGTGAATTGACTGTATATTTGTGGGCGAACGCGGCAGCCAATTGCGCACAGCAATGTCCCACAAACTTATCACGTCATAGAGACTTCTCAAAGCCTTTAAATTTGTAAATATAAAATAGATTTAAATATATAAATAGATTTAAATAACATTTGGTTATATTCAGGGATTTATGAATCCACTGAGCTACCTGTGAAATGCTTGTCCTCTGGAATAATGATACTTATAATTATATTACTTTGTCCTCTGTGCCATGATAAACACTCCATTGTACAAAAGAACGGAATTTGCACATTGAAGGCTGTACAGAATTCAGTGTATGCAGAATGCAGTGATGCAGGATTGCTTTAAAGTAATGCATTTCTTAACTTTACTACATCTGCACCTGGGGTGCAAAGAAAAGATTTTAACGGGGAGGGTGGGGGGGCAGCGCTAGATTTATTCTATTTATGTAGCCTTTATAGCACCTGCAATTTGGCAACTTATTATATTTAGTCTTACATTTGAATCACGTTTTCGGCAGTTCTTAAAATAATCTTACGGCTTCTTGGTAAAGATTATATTTAAGAGTGTATTGAATGTATTGAATCTGAAATGTTAAGAAAATAGTGCAACTTTCTCCCACAGAAATTACCAAAATAATTCTATATTCACTCTATTTGTTGCCATACATGTATTGAACTCCTGCTTATTTTGCTGGTCAGAGGTTAAGAATGTATAAATGAAAGAATTCACAAATAGCTGCAAAGGAACCTATAAAATGTACAATCAAAGGAAGTTTGTGTAACCAGTCTGACCAGGCCCTGCCCAGCATTGTTTAGTGCGCTGAAGAAATCTCAATAGTAATTTTATGAGCCATACTTTTTGAGGAAATAACAAGAGCCACAGAGTAAAAGGTCACTGGAAAGTACATCAACCTACGGTTTTCAAATATAAGACTTTAAGAAAGAGTAACAAGTTTTAATATGTTTATGCATTTATCCATCAACTTTGGGGACAAGATAGAGAGCTCGCCTCAAATGTAAGTTGTATGTAGTTGACAGATCACCAAGATTGGTTTGGATGAAGACCTGTTGGTCCATCTGATCCCATCCTCCCAGAACACCCAACCTGCAGTTCTCCTATCATAGCATCAAGCTGTTTTTTGGAATGAGTGTAATGTCATGGCCTCAACCACCTTTCTTAGCGTCCTGTGGATCTTAGATCCTGATCATTTGAACAGAGTTGAAATGTTCACCTTTGATAGCATTTCAATCCATGAATCCAAATTGAGAGATGTACACTTACATGAGGTCCATGTTATGAGGTCCACACCTACTTGATGTTTGCAGTTCTCCTTAAAGGCATTTGATATTTACAAATTGAATAGGAGATGAGCAATATTTCAGGGTAGCTATAAATTGTTGATTGAACTATAATACTTTTTTTAACTATTAAAGGTAATAGATTGGAGTATTCAAACTCAATCCTTATTGCCAAACAGGCAACATTTTCAATTCAATTTCAAATGTAGCTGTGGCCCCTCATATTGATATTGCTGGACTCATTTTAATACATATAAATCGGATATTGTACGCGATCAACAACAATAACAACAAATTACATTTGTACAGCACCTTTCAGCACTTCTATCAAAGACCCTTCCACACAGAGTGATACTTTCAAATCCTACCATGGTTTCACCCCACCTTACCTGTGGGTATTTGGCCCTCTTCAACCCTGCTCAACTGGCTGCTTCCTTTACTCAGTGAACACTGACATGCTTCTTGTCTTCCCACCCTATCTACCCACTATCAGAAGGCAGACGTTTAGCCATTCTGCCCCAGTTCTCTGGAACTCCATCCTTCAGTTCCTCTGATTCGATCCCTCACTCACCTCATACAAATTTGACTGTGTTTTTTGTTCGTCTTTCCCCTTTCCACCCCGTTCGATTTCCAATCCCAGCTCAGGTGCTCAGTTTGCAGTAGCAAGCACTTTGCTGTATAAATGTAAATTGTATTGTATTGATACTGCACACAAACAAGCCATTTAGCCCAAATAGTTATTTTTCACGATTTTACTAAAGCATGATATTTGAAACCTTCAGTTACTGAAAAGTTTTATTCTTTACAATATGATTTTCACAATTGATTGTTCAAAAAACAGGTAAAATTAATGTTTTTTTCTTAACCCATTTGTTGTGTTAATGAGCCCAAGGAATGGGTTAAGAAACATTGTCAATTTTACTCCAATACTTTTTTAATATACTTTAAATGTGTGTTAAATTACAGTTTCTCCACTCTCAATTTATATAGTAATTTAGAAACTAGGAATGTCCTCAACTGTTTAAAAAGGTGTGGTGTCTGTGGTACTCACCAAAGTCGATCCACCCACTCACTGAAAAAGTTTTATTCCTGACTAACTTCCAAACAATTGTTTGTGAATAGCTCATTCTGCACAGCGCTAATGAGTGTATTTTAGATGAGAAAAGGACTGAAATCAACTTTGAAGCCTCACAATTGACTAGTTTCCTGGGGTTTTGTACTTAGGCTCTTCTAAGAGTAAGCACCTTTTGACCGTACTTAGCGTCACCTCTTCCCTTCCCCTGGTTCAGTACCAGGCTCCTCCACTGTTAAGTGTTCCAAGAATCTGCCCCGGTGAAGGGTGCTAATTAAATGCAAGTTGTTGTTGTAGACTGAGACAAATGGAGATTTGGGCAAGGTAATGGAGGGCATGTATCCATTACACAACTCATAGTGTATTTGAATTTTCAGAAGGCATTCGACAAAGTGCCACATAAAAGGTTGTTATTTAAGATTAGGGTTTATGGAATTAAGAGTAATATATTAGCATGGATCGAAGAATGGTTAACAGGCAGAAAACAGAGAGTAGGGATAAACGGGTCCTTCTCAGATTGGCAGGTTGTGACTAGTGGAATTGGATTGGCAGGTTGGAACTAGTGTTAGTATTCAGAGGAATTTAGGTATCCTTGTACACCAATCACAGAAAGTTAGTATGCAGGTACATCAAGCAATCCGGAAGGCTAATAGGATGTTAGAGTTTATTGCAAAGGGGTTTAGAGTACAAGAGCAGGGAAGTCTTGCTGCAATTGTATAGGGCCTTGGTGAGAGCGCACCTGGAATATTGTGTGCAGTTTTGTTCTCCTTTCTAAGAAAGGATATACTCACCTTAGAGAAGGTACAAAGTAGGTTCACTAGGTTGGTTCCTGGAATGAAGGGGTTGACCTACAAGGAGAGATTGAATAGACTAGGCCTATATTCTCTAGAATATAGGAGAATTAGAGGTGATCTTATAGAAACCTATAAGATTCTTAAGGGTCTTGACAGGGTAGATATTGTGAGACTTTTCCCCCTGGTTGGAGAATCTAAAACTAGGGGTCATAGTCTCAGGATTAAAGGTCAGCCTTTTAGAACTGAGTTGAGAAAACATTTTTTCACGTAGAGGGTAGTGAATTTATGGAATTCTCTAACCCTGAAGCTGTAGATGCTCAGTCATTGAAGCATATTCAAGACTGAGATCGATAGATTTTTAAAAACTAAAGGGATATGGGGATAGGGCTGGTAAATGGAATTAGGTTAGAAGATCAGCCATGATCTTATTAAATGGCAGGCCAGGCTTGAGGGGCTGAATGGCCTACTCCTGCTCCTATTTCTTATGTTCTTATGTCATGAGATCTTTAATGCCCAACTAAACAGGGAGATTGTGATAAAAATGTAATGCAAATGGGAATGTTTGAAAGATGAGAAGAAAGCAAGAGTTGGTGACCGTTATGAATCCTCACGCTGAGTAAGCACCCTTTGACCGTACTTAGCGTCATCTCCTCCCTCCCCCTGGTTCAGTACCAGGCTCCACCAAAATATATGTAATGAAATATATAACGAATTATTAACAATAATAATCTTTACATTTGATATTGCTCCTTTCACATGTCTCAAAGCACTTCACAGAATTTACTGCAAATTGAATTGACTGTTTTTGTAGGCAAATGCAGCCGCCCAATTCAATACAGCAATGTCACACACATAGCCATGAAATGAATGACCATATGGATTTGTGGCAATATTAGTCAGGACACTGGAGAAAATCTCTGTTTCTGAATAGCTACAATATGATATGCATCAAGTGATATAGCGTCAAGGCACATTTCTTCCATGGCTATTTCTAATGCGTCCAGCATTGGTTGGAACCAACATTTCAATAGAGGCAATGACATCAGACAGAAACTGTTCAGTGTTCAATGTTTTGTTTCTCTTAGATTACTGGTAAAGAGCTTCCACATGATCCCATGGTCCCTGTGTGGCTTCAGATCTATGTTGTAGTGCACTTCATCATCATGATAGGTGTTTACTCACACATGTTGGTCAATAAGTCGGTAAGTGCTTGCAGTCTTCCATTTATCACCTTGTTCTGTTGACTTTGCTAAACACTTGTGCTATTGTATTGCCGTTTAAAAAAAAAGGCAAATTTCCAGAATCTGTGAGTCAGCTAGAGTTATATAAAATATAGAGAGCTTCAAACTGAATCTAATTGTTAAAGTTTAAAACTGGAAAAGGTCAACAACATCTTTGATGAACTGTTGTTCTTTTCTGTGTAAGTTTATTTGGGATTTAATATGAAGACCTTCAGCCTCCTATTGAAGTGGTATGAATATTTCCTTTACTGACATCAGCCATGTACCATAATATTAATAATCCTTTACATTTGATAAAGCACTTTCACATCACGAGGTTGAAAACCTTCAGCTTGCAGTTCGTTTTTGTGTTCTTTATAGTATGGTTCACAATCCCGTCACACCCTGGGACCTCCCTACCTCTCCGACTACCTCACTCCCCAATCCACCACTCCGCTCGAATGGCACAGGCCTCCTGCTTGTCCCTCACACTCTCCGCTCCATCATTGGAGTTTGCGCTTTCAGCCACTATGCCTCGAAACGATGGAACATTTTCCCTCAATCCCTCTGCCTTGCTCCCTCTCTCCCCTTTTTCAAGTCCCGCCTTAAAACCTTCTTTTTCGACTGGGCTTATGGTCACCTCCTCCCATCCCTGGCTCGGAGTAAGGCTCCGCTACTGTAAAGTGCTCTGAGATGCTGCCCTGCGTCGAGGGTGCTATATAAGTGCAAGTTGTTGTTGTTGGTGGTTTTCATATGTATGAATTTCTGTAAAAGATTAGGCAGAGGTTGGCAAGAGCCAAGGCTTGGTGACCCCAGAGTGTGCAATGGGGTATTGGTGGACATTGCTACCATTTTAAACTAGTTAAAATGATATGAAAGCACTGTCTGACAAGCTTTCCTGATGCTTGTCCAGCTAGGACCACCCTGCCCATTAGGGATTTGGCTTGCAGGGTTAACCGGAGTGGAGTGGGAAGAATCCCTATCCCCAGTGACTGGTCTGCCCTACCAAGTCCTGATGATTAGTTAGGCTGGCTGTGCTGTCATCAGCAGTGACCTGGAGTACTGCAGACCTGGCTGGCTCACGAATTGGACTACTGAGACTACCACAGAGGGTTGGGTCAATTCTGACATTCTGTAGCCAAATATGTCACCTTTGAGCCAGTTCAGCTGTGAAAAGAACCTGCTTACCTTCTACCCCAATGCTTCACAGGATATAATGTAAAATGCAATGACTTTGTATTTTGTTGACCTTTCCTCATACGGGTATATTCCTCATACCATATTTCATAACAGATTCAATATGATATGTTACAACTGAATCTATTACACAATAGAATTTCTGTTGGATTTCCGAAAAATAAAGGTAGTATTGAGATAAAGCCATTTAGCCTACTCATTTGGTTAGGTCCACATTCAAATTCCTGTAGCTTAATCTTATCCTTGCATCACCAGAATACTATATTTTTCATTCGCTGACCAATTTGATTTGAATATCGCAAACAACATCAGGCCTCACCCTATTTCTAAATCTTTGAAATGACTGTAGGTAGGTCTTTAAACAAAATGCCAGAGCCATCTTTTTAGGTGGCTTCAAGGTTGGTGGAAGTCGATTCGATAACAACTTTTCAGAGCGAACTAGATAATTATTTGGGGAGGACAAGTTTGCAGAAACTTATGGGAAGGAGTGAGATTGAATTTGATATCTCTTTTCAAAGAGCCGGCACAGACATGATGGGTCAAATGGCCTCCTTCTGTGCTGTATAATTCTATGATTCTATGATTTAACTTGTTTAAGCAGAGTTTTGACATGAGTAGAATCTTTCTTACACAATTTTGACCTTCTTGCTTTGTTCCATCGTAACACAGTGGTAATTTCACTAAAGAGGGAGAATAAAAAAAGAGTATGAGAAAGCGCCTGGGAATTATTGAAATGCTTAAGTTCCTGGTGCCCCGCGGGAACTCTGGTCCAGAAGTAGATCATGCCAGAGTGGAAATCCTGCAAGTGAATGTGACACACATCTGGTTTTAGACCCTATTGTTTCATAATATGGGATTGCTTTGCCACATAATCCAATATTTTGCCTCACTGGAGATTTGTGAGTCTGCCTGAATAAAATGTTCTTTATTTGCTTCCTTGAACAGACTTTATCAGAACTCACACTGCTCCTGCGAATTGGATACATTATCCTGACGCTGACCTGTGCTGGACTAATAATGGAGAATAGGCAAGTGTTGTTCTACAATATTTATGTAGAACAGCCTGGCTCAGTTGGTAGCACTCTCACCTCCCAGTCAAAAGATTGTGGGCTTGAGCCTCATTTCGGGTCCATCTGTTTTCTCTTTATTGTTGTTGTTTTAATGAAGCATTCATTGTTTCACTTCTTCCAATGCAATGCAACATTGCTTTGAAGATTGTGTTTGGAACTTTGAGTTCACCGTTCAGACTGATCTTCCAGTGTAAGTACCATCATTTGGATAAGATAATAATAATAATAATAATAATCCTTGCAGTTGATATTGCGCTTTTCACGTCGGAAGAACGTCCCAAAGCGCTTCACAGAACACGCTGTAAAGTGAATTGACTGTATATTTGTGGGCGAATGCGGCAGCCAATTGCGCACAGCAATGTCCCACAAACAGTCGTGGATTGAAGTGACCCAATTATTATTGTTTTTTTTTTCTTGAGGGATTATTATTAGGCGTGTGGAGTAAGGAAACTTGCCCAAGGTTTCGCCCTGCCTGGATTTGAACTCAGGTCTCTCACTTGCAAAGCGAGCGCTCTAACCACTGAGCTACAGGACTCCACAATAATATTTAAGATATTAAATAAACTGAGGCCCTGTCTGCCTGCGTTCTGGAAAGCAGTCCTCCAGATAAAATTAACAATTTACTTCATATTCGTGGGATTTTGCTCGGTGCAAATTGGCTGCTGAGTTAGCTTACAAAAAACAGCCACTACATTTTGCAGAAACGTTTTAAAGTGCGTTCAGAAGTTCCTGACATAATTGAAACTACATCAAAAGCAAGAATTTTTGTGGTTGGTTTTCTTACTCTTTTCTTTTTGTTTCCATTTCCCTTATTTATTATTAAAATGGTTCCTACACATTCCACTTTAATCTGTCTCAATTTTGAATGAGTTAAATACTTTCAGTTAATCTACAACAACACATTTATACTTATAAAGCACCTTGCAAGCTGGGAGGACATCCCAAGGTGCTGCTCTATCCACTCTTGATTCTTTCTGATGTTCTGTAATTAATAATTCTATTGCTCTTTTTGCCAGAAGACCTGGAGCAGCAATCCTGGAAACAACCCGATGCTTCATTTTTCTGTTCCTTCAAAACCTTGGTTATATGGGTTCTCTGGTTGACCCTTTAAAATTGGCTACTGAGGTAAGTGTCTTTCGTTTGAGTGCCCAGCCTACTGTCCAAAGTGCTTTCCGATGTCCTTTCCACATGAAAAGCGTTATATAAATGTGAATTGTGTTGTCTTGTATTATAATAATAATATGTGCATTTGATACAGAATCTTATCACATCACCGAGATGTCTCAAAGCGTTCACTGGATATATTGTAGGATAGACTGTATTTTGTGGGACAAATGCGGCAGCCAGTTTCTTACAGCAATGTTCCTAGGTGGATCATTTTCTGTAAGTATTTGCTATATACTGGCCAGGGATGTTGGTGGTGTATTCATATATAGTAGTCTGTATAGGTCATTTGTATCAACAAAAAACAATAACTTGCATTTATATAGCCTCATGTGGGGTAGCAGTATAACACCAAATAGAAGAATTGCAGTTTCATTTCCAGTATTGTTTTCATTGTCCCTAGATTACAAGTATATATAAAAAAATGTTTCATGGTATCGTTTTATCAGTGGTGACAGCTGACTTCATAATAATCCTATTTGATATAGTGTCTTATACGTCAGGAAGATGTCTCAAAGCATTCACGTGGTACAGAGTAATGTGGAGTGACTGTATTTTGTGGGTGAACTTAATCCACCTTTTCTCTGTTTGCTTTGAATGATACAACGATGACTTGCCCTCTTAAAGGTCTTACCGACATTATTTGGGGGAGATGCCTGTATAGCATTGTCAGGGGTGATAAAAGTCATTCTATCCATCTGCCTAGAAGGGATATATGATGCACCTAAGCCTGCAATACTTTTGCAGGGAGAAGGTCATAGAGGAGATTAGCGGTGTTATACTATACCTATCTAAATCAGACGATTATTGTTATAATTAAACAAATTCACCCTGCACTGGTGCTGCTTTTAGATTTTGATCCACTGTGTGAAGAAGAAAATAATTTCTGTTTTCATAGCCTCTTATTATGGCAGAATGCCTTAATTTATGGTAATCACTATCAAGTATAGTGACTGTTTTTGTAGGCATCCATTTTCCAAAGTGCCATGAGGTAGGCTCCAAGGTTCAGCACTCTGAAACACTTCCCCATGTGATGGCCAAGTCATTTTAGTTGAGGTGATTGACCTATGTATATATATTTTGACCTATTCATCTAGAGGATTGTGGGACAGAACAAAACTCTTTTATTTTTCTGAATAGTGTCATGGGTCTTATCATTCACCTGAGAACAAGCAGATGGTATATATATATATATATATGTGTGTGTGTTAGGCAGACACTCATGCAAACATAATGAGTTTAATCTCTTCTTGTCAGTGCGTGCTTGTAATGTACCTGATGTTGGTGGGAGGTCTGGGGTATCATTCCCTTCCAGTAGCATTACTGATTTGTGCTGTTAGAGAGAACCAAGAAAACAACAGACATTTATAGAAGGTTAATTTGGTGGGATAAGGATAATTGTGAGGTAAGCTCACAGACTACAAGGAGATGGGGGAGACATCAGGCAACAGACACAACAAGCAATAGTGAGAGCTCAGAGTTAAAAAGTGAAAGGCCACTGAATTCATTCAGCCCACGATCTGATTTGAAACATCACAGAAATGCAAAGGTAAAGAGTGGGTTAGAGGATGGAGTGATTGAGGTGAAAATAGGAAAAGAAGAAAATGGAAAAATAGCACGGAAGAAAAACATAAATCTAGTGGTGAATTGTGTTAGCAAATTGAACAGGGAATTAAATAACTATTAAGCAAAAAGATTGATTGATGGGTATGATGGGCAAAGACAACTCAGGGAGAGCCTCAGTGAGGTGTATAAACTTTTAAATGCTATTGAAAAAATAAACTCAGAACAAAACTTTAGAATCCACCAAGACAGTAGAATAAGAGGACAAAGATATAGAGTTGCAAAGGACAATTTCAGGACAGATACCAGGAAGATTTTCTTTATTTAATTAATAACTAAAACAGGTTGTCGGATGATTGAGGCAGGACATCGACTCATTTTAAAAAAAACGGCTTGATGCTATGATGTGGGGATGGATGGTAGGGTGGGTATTCTGGAGGGATGAGATCAGATGGATCAAAGGGCCTTCTTCATCCAGACCAATCTCATGGTCGTGAAATTTAAGAGTAATGAAGAATTCTTTTACAATACATTTTTACAGCCAGATGGTTTTGTTTCAGTCTTGTACATTCCTATGTGAATGCAGAAACAAAAACAGAGAGAAACAGCATGGATGTTTTTAACTTTACATTTTTTAGCCTTACATTAAAAAATGTCTGTACGTTGAAACATGCAGAGCAAAAAGTGTCAAAACAGCTCCATTATTTCTATATGAAATGCATTTACTTTTATACAGGAAAACAGGGGAGGGATCTGATGGGAATAGGAGCATAATTGCGTTTACTATGGTGTGAGACAAATGTCACAAGCAGTAGGACTCTTTGAGACCACATTTGCTTCAAAGGTGTCCACACAGCCAGCAGAACCTCATGAGCATACAATGCACTCATTAACAGGTTACCACGAGAAAGCCACAGGACTAAAATACATATATAAAATTAAGCCAACAGTCCCGCAGAGCTGTAAACCTTAAAAACCTTAAAAAACATCTGTATTTTCCCGTTTTGCCAAGCATCTGCAGAGGTTTCACACAATCTGCCAATTCGTTCCAGTTATTTTTAAAGTTGGATTGCATTTAAACTGTTCAGAAACTAACAAACATTTAGTTAATAAAAAACAGTACTATATCATTATTCAATTAACATATTAGGTCATTTTATTTCCCAGCATAATCTCATTGAGGAAATGACTATTAGCCTATTTAAAGGGACGGTGTTTTTTTTTAAAGTTTTGAGATGTTTTCCTCTGTGAAAGGCACTGAATAAGTTCAAGTTGTTGGGGGACGTGCTCAGTTCCTGGGGCAGCCTGCTTTGAATGCCTCCCCATCAGTCTATATTGTTGAATGCTGTAGTAAAGTTATTTGGCAGAAGACTACATATGTGCTTAAGATCAAAAACAATTTTTGGCCGCCAGATATGATTGACCGAACAATGGTATAATTGCAACCCTCTTTCACGTAGACACACATTAAAGAGTCACGCAGGACATGGGTGAACTGTTCCCAGAACAAATGATGTGTTGATTTTGATGTGGCGAATAACATATGCGTCAATCCTCATGGCGATCAAATTGAGGAAATGCGTAAAGTCAGATTAATGATCGAGGAGTGGGTCAAAGTTGAAAAGGCCTTTGAAGATGAGTGCATTGTTCCTTAGCAGATTGTCAGTTTGGCTCGATCTAGTTCAATTTAGCTAAGATGAATTCAGCTGGTCAAAGCTGTCACTTCTTGGTAATAGGTTGTGAGTTTAAGATTTCAGCTCCGAATCAAGGCTGCCATCGAGTGGTGTATTGGCAGAGGATCTTTGGATGAGATATTAAACTGGGGGCACCTGTATTGGTGGCTGTTCCTATGTCAATAGTTGGAAAAAATTCTCCCAGTGTCCTCCTGGACACTATTCCTCCCTCAATTAACTGATCAACAAGCTGACTAATTGGTCTTTCATCCCATTGCTGTTTTTGCATGTTGCTGCAATTGATTAGCTGCTGACCTTGTCTCTGAAACAATTGTTATGCAATATTTCAGAGTAACTCGTTGCAACTCATTCCTAGCCTTCGGATCACATGTTTAACCGAGACATTTACTTTAATACAGGAAAACAGGGGAGGGTTCTGATGGGACATAGTAAATGCAATTAGGCTCCTATTCCCATCAGATCCCTTCCCTGTTTTCCTGTATAAAATTAAATGTCTCGGTTAAACATGTCTCCCTGTTTACGTGGATGTTAAAGATCTCATGGCACTATTTGAAAAGACAAGGGAATTTCTCCTGCTGTCAGCCAAGAATCTGCCGAATTAAAAGAATCATTCATTTCATGGTTGTTTATAGGACATCGCTGTGCTCAAATTGGCCGCTGTGTTTGCCTAAAAAATACAGTCACTTCATGATACAGTAAATCCTTTGAAACTCTTTGACAACGTGATAAGGTGCTGTATCAAATGCAAGAATTATTTATTATTATTGTTGTGTTTGATGCGATTACACACTAAGTCAAAAATGCAAGCATTTGCTTTATTTTTAAGAGTGACATGTAAAGCTAGTTATGGTTTAATGCTAAGTGTGATTATCTCTGTAGAGGATTGCAACTTGTCAGTGCGATCACTAGTTTTCAGCTCTGGAGCACAGCACAGCAGAGCGCTTTAACAAAAGACTTGTAAATTGAGGGCATCAGCTTATATTAAGTTTTCTTTATTACACATTTGCAAGTGTGGTAATACTTGCAAATTACCACACTCCTACTGCTCCTAACCAATCTCACTGTCCATTAAATGCACAAGAAATTGCTTTATTTTCTTAAGGGTATACTTAGCGCCGTATGCCTAGCAATACATTCCCCGTGGGAGGCTGGCATATCAGCAATGGTGATTTTATATAATTATGTGCATATTCTCTAGTGCGCTGTACTTGTAGAAGAGATTTACAACTTCTACACTATGTTTAAAGTGAATGGTTAGACCACACAAAATAGAGTACCAGATAATTGCTGAGCAAATGGGCAAGTGGCTTGTATTTGGGTATGTTGATGTTGAGTTCTTTGCACTGTGTGTGAGCTCCATCACCTTCCAGCATCTTGCTTTGTGATTCTACAATTCCAGATGCTCAAAGCAATTGACCGTAAAATTGCTTTTTATTTCTATCCATGTAGCTAGTTGTTGCTCACAGCCACCTCCTGTTAAAAAGTTGCTCATTATCAGCTTCCTTTCCTGCCTCCCTCTTCAGTCAAAGAAAAACTTCTGGAACCGATTATAAATGTCTGCTTTTAACTTAATAGACTGATGAGATTTGCACGGGGCTAGGATTCTGGTTGGAAGTATAAGCCCTTTATACTCTGTGGTAGGGTTGCAATCACGTTACAATTATTGCCTATTAAAACGGTAATGCCCATTGTAAGTATGTCCAA